AATTTGCAGCGATATACTGGTACGTAAAGTGATTGGGTTCTTTAGCTCCCCGCATGCATGCGATCAGTAAAATCAAACATAGAGTAACAAATGAATTAAAGGGCATACGCGAGCATAGGATCAGCGGCCGTATTTCACAAATTAATATACGAAAGAGCGATCTCTGTACATATAGATTAACCCTAACCCATACACGGCACTTTGAATTTATATTTTTCGTTCAGTTCATACTGCATTTGCAGGGTTTACACTCTACATCACTTGCGGTACGAGGACATATTATATTTCTGCGCAAGTATGCAAAACTCACAAAAACTTGAGATAGATCGATCTTTTACTTTTCCAGTCGACTAAACTTGTCTGTCCGTCTTGACTTATTGGTTTCAACGTACACGCCGAAATTTTTTAGAGCTTTTTACGAAATTTGGTGTATGCACGTGTCTTCGCCCAAGGGCGAACACTATCTCAAAATAGTCGGAACCGGACCACTTTTTGGACCAGTTACTTTGTAACGCCTTGTTTTGAAAAGTCGTCATATGAATAGCTGTAGGGTTGCGCAGGGTATATAATGATGAATTGTGGCCCGCTATAGGATTTTAATTTGTCCTTTATTTAGTTTAATTTACATTAAGAGTTAAGGCTAAACAAGAAATATTTTTAAACTTGTAGTTAGTTATGATGTTAAACCGAAATCTTTTCATTTTATAATCGCAGTATCTTTGTAGTCCATAGCTCGCGACGCAATTATCTTTTGTGATACTACGATTACTGTTTGGCAATAGTATAAATGCACAATTCCTTAAAGTAAGTCCGTCCCAAATTTTTGTGTCGATTAGATTTCGCCTGCTCAAGATACAGGATTGCTTTCTCACTGGTAACCATTGAGGCGCAACCCCGCACAAAAGCAACTGTGTGAAACATGGTTAATCGAAATATTATTTAAAAACAATAAAAATGTTGCCTTTCTTTGGTCGAAAAGCGAATATTTTCATCCAAATACTTTAAATTTTGATACACTGACGCGTTTTGGCGCAACGACGAACGATATTATAAATGGTTCGGATCAGACCATCTCTTACATCAGATAATACAAATTTATTCATCGTTGTTAACTGTCTGCTATTAAGAGTATAAGTGTAATAAATAAATTTTAACAAACAGAAAAACTGTGCTTATCTTTTCTAAATTTTTTGTAGTTTGATGTAAGAAACTATGCGTACCGCAGTCTAGCTTTCAATTCCGATTTCAAGAAAAAAGAAGGAATCGCTTAATTTTCATGCATCTAGCTGAACAAGTACACTGGGAATGCTAGGGAACATTGATTTTTCGATTTTCCTATAATCGGCCAGTATATCGAAAATAAATAATCGCTCCTTTCTTAAGTGCTAGTGTATGAATTATCTTATCAGGAGTCCCCTACGTTACTTTTTACGAAATGTTGTTTCAGAGGCATTGGAAAATATTTAAACAAAAAGTTATCGTCAATGAATGCTGTGCGCCGTTTTGAAATCTTGTATGTCAAGAAAAAGTAGATCAAAGTTTCAAGTACAAGTATAACGATTATGTTTGGAAAACGAATATTGTGCATTCAAAATGGCGCCAAGCCCACTTCTTTTTTGTTTTTGAAAAAATTACAATGGCACTGTCATTTGCGCAACATTTCAATGTATATGTCAACTATAACCAAAGAAACATACATTATATTTGACAAACCCCATCAAAGTGAATATTTACTAAGAATAACATTTAATGCATATTCATTAAAGTCACAGCAAGGTCTGTAGTTCTAACATCTTATGTCGTACTGCGGTATACAACAACAAGCAGAGAGATTTTGGTCACCCAAATGAGAAATGCTTCCATTTCCCTAACGACAGCCTCCCACTTATTATCGTCATTCTCGAATAAAAAAAAAAAAAAAAAAAACGCGTTGCGTAACGGACACTCGTTTTTCTAAGATGTTGCCGTCAATATCCGCGGCTAAGCAATATGCATCGTATTATGACATTTGATTGGGGCAACTTTTATATGAAATAATTTCACACCAAAGAAATTCATTCACAATATTTTCCTATAATACACTGATGTCCGCATACCATAGCACTTCCTCCAATACATTTATGTCATCTGTAGCCAGAACGGCAAACTCGTACTACTTGTTGTTGCTCTTTTCACATCTACTTGCATATACATCGCACATCGTTTAAAATCTCTAAAATGACTCAGTATTTCGGGAATTATTGTTAACTTATTTATTAAAGCCTTTCCCCATCTACCGCTAACTCCGTAATTAAAAATCTCAAACAACACAACGCTATGTCTATGCTGACATAGGCGTTGGTGTAATGAAGGCAATATCGACACATAATCGACATAGGAGTGCAGAAGATTAAGTATCTGCTCAAGATATTTTGCTGCAAAGGCAACAACAAAAGAATAACGGCCTTATGTCAGTGTAATGCCGGTAGCATTTTGAAGTCGCTGGTGGCTTATAAATCTGTCGAGGCAAGAGTTTAATATGAAATGTGAAATGTGGACGTGGAATGCTCTTTTGCAAATGACGCACAAGTGCTTGTTTGCCCGAATTTCTCATAAATACAAGCAAAATGAAGATGTGACAATGCAATCAGTTGACTTTTTCACCATTAAAACTCCCGATGGTTAAGCTATTCACAAAATAATTATAATTTGGTAACGACTAACTCTCATTTATTCTCTATACTAATAGAGAATAAACTGCGCAACCATAATTTTGACGCCAAAAGTGTTTCGAGAGAAAGGATTTGAAGGCACTTTTTACGACAATTTACGTTAGCTCTTGCAAAGGAGGGGGAATATCTCAAAAGACAACCGCAACAATTTTGACATATAAATGAAACAATAGAACTCAACTATAAGTCTAACGTAAATTTTCTATGCTTTTTCTTAGCATCTTAGTTCTTAGTTAACTACTTTTTAAATTATTTACTGAGAAGCAACTTACGCTCCATTAAATATTACCTAACGTAGAGATAGATTTTTGATATCTTTCACATTTACATGAAACACAAAAATACCATTATCGAAAGACTAGAGAGGTTGTGCTGCCTACACCCAAGTAATGCATAATTAAGTAAATGCCACAAAAAAGCACAGTTAGATACTAAGTTAAATTACAAAGTCAGTTTGCCTATCTGCCCTGCCTGTACAATACGATAGGAATTAGTAAAAGCATACAAATTTAGGCAAAACACTGAAATCCACTTTCTGGCTAAGTCGAATCTGTCAATAACAACTAAAAAGTTGAAAGATTTCTATTAATATCTTACAACTGTGTATGCAGCAAAAATATGGTTAACCGACATGATGGCAATCAAGCTATTTTCACATAATTACCTTAGATGGGTGATGAGTATCTATCTATGAGTTTCAAGTAATTTCAAAAAAAAAAAAAAAAAAAAAAAAAAAGACAAGGATTACACATACATATTAGAAATGGAATTATTTTAAAATAATCGCAAAAAAAAAACCATGAACACGTGAATATTTAAAAGAACAAATCTCAATTACTAGCAGGATTACATGGATTTACTATTACGTAGGAGTAAGAGAATTTCTATGAAAAGATATTTTTTTGAACTCATTTCTTCTGCATCCTTGCCCTTTTATGATTTTCACATGAGTTGACAATTTTGTACATTTAACACTTTTCCTATTTTTTTTTTTTTTTTTTTTTTTTTTTTTTGCTAACGGTGACGAAGAGCAATTGAGTGAAAGACTGACTAGACAAAGTGAAAGAGATATAAGTAAGTATAAGAAGATGAATGATAGATGGGTTGAAAAAACGATTGCTCTTTTTTTTTTTTTTTTTTTTTTTGTATTCAGGATAAAAATAAAAAGTTTACATTTATATTTCTTACCCTTTCAAAGTTTAACTAAGTAGTATAAATGAATCGAAGCTGTGTCAGGAATTTAAATCTTTCTCCTCTCATATAAGCAAAAGTAGTAGTAGTAGTAGTAGTAGTAGTAATATGTAATTTCCATTTAATTAACCATAAATTTTCTTAAATTATCAGGCCACAAATACATGTAAATAATATCGTCAAAGTGAAAAAAGTTTAAGAATTTTTAATTTGCAAGTTTATAATAATAATAATAATAATAATAATAATAATAACAAATTGTACAGATAATGGGAAATGAAGATTTCCAAAAATTCTATGCGCATTAATTTGAAGAAAAGAAAAATGCAAAAAGATGAGAAAAGAAAGGATCCGCATCAGCGGAACAGTGTTAGTCACGCTTTTGCTCAGTCAGTCGTTTACTGCTCACGTTCTAATGAATTGTACATTACCTCTATGTCTCAACCGTTCGTCATCGTGAAAGTATATCAATCTGTCTCCATCCATCTTTCTAAACACAAACTCAGCTATAGCAGTGTCATATTCTTTGTCGCTGAGGTTAGTGTTTATATAGCTCTTGGACTAATATCAGCAGTAGTAGCATCGTTATATATCTCATCTGATATATTTGTCTTTAAATGTTTAACACGTCCATTTATCATCTACTCGAGTCGTAGAAACTAACTGAATGTAAGTATATGCACGCATATAAACACATATACACGTAAACATCAAAAGCACATTTTCAAATACTACATTTAGATGGTTGTCTACATATTTCGTCGATGTTTTATATGTTAACACCTATGATTGTTGTTAGTTTTGCTGTTATTATTGTTGTTAAGGTACCCTTAACAACATCAATGATACATCCACTTCATACACACTTTGATGGACAAGTATTTGTGCAGCACTTTTAAGATAATAATGACGATGACGATAACGATGATAATGATGAAAATTGTTTTCGAGAGTGCGAAAGTGACTGCACTGTGTCAATTAACTTAAAAGAATTGTCTTATGTACGTTTGTTATGTTTTAAACTTTCAAAATGTGATTGTGTATTTAGTAAGTAAGCAAAAAAAATTAAAATAAACATTCTTGCTGGAAGGTACTTACCGCTAAGCTTATGCAGTTACATAAGGCGCATTTTAACTGCAAAGAGAAGGAAAAGAACAAAAGTTTATTAAAAGTGGGAATATTTTTTTTAGGGATTTGGTAACCTACCTACCTACTTTCATATGTTTTCCTCTTATTCTACTTTTTCTTATTCTATTGTTCCCCTCTCTATCATGTCAGCCTTTCTTTCTTGTTTATGGGTTTCGGTTACCCTTCCTCTCATTTCTTCTCACTTCTTTCCAATTAAATAAAAAGTGATGCTTATCGATAATCACCTTCGTCTCGCCTCGTCTCGTCTCTATCCATCCCTCTGTGTTGGGCGTCATTGAAATCGCAATAACTTTACTCCCATGTCCAAATTTATACCCTACGGCACTTATGGTACAGAGTATATTAAGTTTGTGCGGTCGTATATAACACGCAAAAGTGCTTAAGATAGATCTTTTCATGTCCGTCGGATATCTGTCCATGTAAGTTTATATTCAAGCTACAAGTCGCAATTTTTGAGATATTTTCGATGCAATTTGGTGCAATGACGTGTTTTGGCCAAAAGGCGAATTCTATTGAAAATGATTTCTATTGATCCACTTTTCCAACCACTCCCCATATAACGCCCTATTTTCAAAATTCGTTACAGGGAAAATAAAGAAAATTTTCAAAATTTCTCGACAAAAATGACTAAGTTATAGTATTTCGGAATTCTAAATTGGAATGAAAAACTGCCAGGGGAAAATTTTGAACGTCCTCTCGTATAAAGAAAAGTGAATACAACGAAGTGGTCTAATTTTCAATTCTTCATAATGCTTAATGATCAAAATCACATCGTAATTGTAATTTAAGATAAAAAAAATGTAAAAAATTAACTATTCCAAATTTAAACACTGTCTGTCTTATTTATGAACGACCAGAAAAGTCTACATTTTAATATATTATCATAAAAATTAATCCACAATAGTAGTTTGATGTAAGAATTAACTATGCTGGTGTAGGGTATTTAATATCCGGCCTAGCCCAACTTTGATGTTTTCACTTGTTTCATATATATATATATATGCCATGTACAACAGGCAGAATGCGAAGGTGAACATGTGAAGGATTTAAATAACATACCAATGCAGCAGCAATGTGTAGAAAAAATTTTCAATATTCTGTCTAGTTCACCTTATAAGTAGGTAAGCGGTAAATGTCAAAAAAAATTATAAAATATAAAAATTTGATCTGATTTTCGTACATGAATAATAGGGTCCTCCGTAAAGTAAATATAGAAAATCTCAGTCTGCTATCTTTCATAACTTATGGGTTATGAGCGAATTTTCGCTTAGAGAAGCGCAATTGCGTTCAATTCGCGCTTTATTTTGGGCGTACCAGCTAATGCGTGTAAAATTGGAATCTTTATAGAACTCTGATACTTCCACAACGTTTACTACTAAAATTCGGATTAACTTCCTTTTCCAGCCTTTAAAGCTGAACAACTGGACTCATGCTCCGGGCTACAAAACGGGCTTTATTATCAAACTAGTGGTGGCTAATCTGATACGTACTTACAAAGCACATAAAATTTTGTCTCACTCGTTTAAAACATCCGAAACTGCGCGTAGTATGCTCGAATAAAATTTCTTTGCGAAAATATCAAAGAGCAATGTACATGACATGAGTAAATGAACGAATGCCGACCGCTCTACCATCTGTCCTGCGATTGCACTTAAAGAACATAAAAAAGGGGAGCCATCATACAAAACGGACGTCTCATGTAATCACAACGAAGCACAAATGCTCATTTAAAAGCCATTGCAATTACCCCCAATGGTTTCACCATTTCATTTTTAATTTTTAACTGTGTGCAACTCTTTTATCTACAAGGAATGCATTTACTCTACGCGATTTCCCGTAGATTGCATTTGAAACACTACTTAATATCGAAATGTTATCGCTCTACGAATACCGGTAAGCGAACTTTTCAGCACAGTATATTTAAAAGTTGACAAAAATTCAAAATAACTCGATACGAAAATCCCAGTAGTAAATGTTTAAAACCCATACAAAGTACGTTTACATAGAACGTATGACCCTACAATTGATTTTATCCTAACCGTATGAATTTTTAGAATGTACATACTATGTGGCTAGAATGCATACTCATAAGAAATGCTTTTTATCAAATTATTAACAATCTGTTGATTATGAACGTGTGTAAATTTGAATATGTGTAAGTAAAAACGTTACGTTTACCTATAGATAAAAAAAAAAAAAAAAAAAAAAAAACATGATTACTGTGTTTGTTATAAAATTCTCATAATTTCTGTTCTCCACTATCCAGGCAATGATTGGATCATCAATATGCGAGATATGATGGGCCAGCAGCTACAGTTCACATCACGTTGTGTGTATACATGTATAAAACTAATCAACAACACCATTAATAACTCTGTGGCATAGACATTTTTCAGTTATCAGTCTGGAATGACATTTTATGAGCATGAGGGTTAGGCATGACTGCACCGTGTGTTCGAAACGATGAACCAATCGAAAAGAACGAACAACGTTATTTATGCTTAACTGCGTTCAAAGCTAGTGACCCTCGTGCAGACCAAGATGATGTTACATATATTTATATTTTGTTTTTATGACTTTTTTTCTCTTTTGGTTATTGAAATTAAACTCTGAGAATATGATATTGAATTTATAATAATATATATATATGTGCGTGTAAAGCAGTATGTAAGTAGAAAGTTTAACCTAACCTAAAGTCTGCGTCGATATTAGTAAGTATTTCCTCGGAAGGCTGCGTGGGATATCAGTCCAAAACGTTGCTCTTAGATAAGCCTTAGCAAAAGTCGCTTCACCTTAAGTTTAGTTCATTATTAGGAATTGGTCTTACCAGCCTGTGGTGATGTTGTCTCCTCCTCTTCAACAGCCTAACTTAAAATCTCTGTCGCAGATGCAAAATCTCTTAGATTGAAGCATAACAAGGTTAGCAGACTCATTTTTTTTGTGATCAAAATGATGCGCTATCGTGCCTTGTCGATGCCGTCAACAATCATGCCTCTTCGAAACTTTTGTGAATATTGACATGTTGTGTTCACTCCTTCCTTTCCGTTGGAGGTAAGTCCTTGAGTTTATCTCTTTAAAATGTAGCCGTCTACGCAGTATGACATGCCAACCTTTTCGCTATTTACTCCCTTTATTTTCTCATATGTATAGTTCCCCATAGTTCACTCATATCTCTCGTTTGATCATAGCATGTATTCGAAAGTATATATCTATGCAGTTGCGATATAATTCGCTTACTAGTAGCTTGCCTAACTACGACTATTGATCGAAACAAGCCTTCAACAACTGATTCTCGGATGAGATTGATCTGCTTTGCTCGTTCTTTTAATTATTGAGCATTTGCCTCTTTCCCCTACACGTAAAGCATTGGCATCTGGTACTTGTCTTTGCACGATCTCGCGTAACTACTTTTGAAGCATTTCTGAAACACTTTATATTTTCCGATTGGACTGCGAGGCTTCACAAGTCGCTTTCTTCACATTTTTGTTTTAGCGGCCGCGCTACCGAGTTCGGCCGCTAGTGTTTCCATTTCTCTGTCTTGTCTTGTTGTTACGCCTACTCTTGGGTGTCAGTCCAGTTCAGGCTTCTTACTCTTCGCCTTGTTCATTTTGCAGTCTTAGTGGTAAACCACCAGCATTTTTTATATATGGTCTCTTTATATCTCCGAGCATATTAACGACGACGTTTATGCGCTCGGCTAGCTTTTCGACGGCCGACAAGTTAATCGCTGTCACGTTCCTCGCACTAATTGCTGTGCTCGATCGTAATGTTAATCCGGCAGTATTAGGCCACAGCCATTTTTGCTCTTCCAGGTAGCGAAAATTGTCTTCACCACTTCTATTTCGTATGTTTCTAATCATTCTTCTATATGCCACAATCAGGGTCTTATCGGGCTTGACGTCTACTATTGGACTTCGATTCTCTCCTTCTCTCGTTAAAAGTCTAACGATGCGAAGCATATGCTAAAATGGCGGCGCCGTATATTCGTGAGTATATGTGTGCATGTGATTATGCATGTATATGTATATATTTTTATGCAATGAATTTTATGTTTCTAACGATTTCATATTCCAAATGTTTTGTTTTTAATTTATTCACCAACAATGCATAACTATTTATTCATGACGGTAAAATTTGCAAATATTTTATATAAAATTTTTTTTTTTCAATTATTTGTTGATTTGCAATTCCGTATACAAATATTTTTTTTTAATTCATTTTTCATGTCTAACCCATTTCAAACATTCAGCTGTACTTTCCAATTGCCGTCGGCGGTATATTAGGTTCTCCAATATATATGATTTTTCGTTAAGTCTACTTTCATATATATATACGTTTCACTTAATTCTTCCTTCAGTTTCGCGTCATGTGCGCTCATCCTGGACACTAAGTACAGCTTTACATTCTATTAGTCTCCATTTATTATTATTATTATTTTAATTTTAGACTAATGAATTGAATTCTCAGACTAAAAAAAGAGACATTGAGCACTAGCAACACAGGCTATCGGCTCTAATTTAAATAAATGGATATTAGATAATAAGCTTAGTAGTATTAATAAAGTAAAATATTGAATTGATATTCTGTTCTGAAGTTGATTGTAGAATGTTCAAAGGGTTAATCGTTCCAAATGCAATACTTCTAGCCAAGGAAAAGTTGAGGCAGTCGCAGAGAATGTGCTTTATAGTAAGAGTTTGTCCACAACAGCAGATTGGGGGAGAAGACTTCTTCAGGATCCATTGGTGAGTTGCAATTGTACGACCAAGGCGAATTCTCGAAAATGTTTGGATCTTGGTTTTCTCAACATTTGTTGGATATAGAGGTGGAGTTAATTGAGGGTTAATGCAAGAGTAGTGTTGATGATGGTATTGTAAATTTCCTTCTGCAATTTTCTCTTTAACTGTTCTTCCAATGTATCTTTGAACTTTTCCATGACATCATCCATAATTAGAGGAGCAGAAGCAGCCTACTTTGCCGCTCGATCA